AGAGAGAGAGAGAGAGAGAGAGAGAGAGTGTGTGTGTGTGTGTGTGTGTGTAAAGCGGCAGAAATCCTGCTTCATCTTCATCAGTTCATGACGTCATGCGGCAGTGTGGCTCAGACCCGCTTCGGGTTTTGCTCTGGTTTTGTGAATCAGTGGTTTCTGCAGTGAAGCACCACCCTCCTCCTCCTCCTCATCCTCTTCTCTGACGCACATGAGGAGAATCCCAGCGCTCGCGTCACCCGCGCCAGTGGGCGTGGCGTCGCTCCGCTTCATTCATAAAGTCCGGCTGCCATTCGGATGAAATGTAACGCGCTGCTGGAGCGTTGTGCCATCGGCGAGCGCTTATAACGCGTCCCTCATTCGGACAGCATGAATTACACATAGGTGAGTGATGCTGTTTAGCGACGCGCGTCCTGTCTGCCTGCGTTTAACGCGTTGGAAATGCAAATTGTTGTAAATGCAGCGAGTGTGGAGCGCGGCGGCGCGTTCTGCGTGCGTCTGGTGTTCATCAATAAACAAACAAACGAACGCGTCTTTGGGTTGCTGATGTGTCCGCGCGATGATGGAAATCTGCCGCGTCGCGTCGAGCTCGAGTTATGACGTCAAGCCTCTGGATCGTAACACGAATAATGACGTCAGTCAGCAGCGCGTCGCGTCAGTGCGCAGCAAAAGACGGTTGTGTGAGTTTTAATATGATTTATGTAACGCGCGACATACATTCACATGTAAAGAGCGCGTGAAACAAGCATCACTGACTCTCTCTCTCTTCAGATGCGAGCTTATACTGATCAGTTATTCTGAAAGGCTTTAATTATTCTAATTAACTGGCTAGTGGCGCGGAGTTTATTAAGCTCCAGCAAATATATATATGTGTGAGTGTGTGTGTGTGTGTGTGTGTGAATACAGTCAAACCAAAAATTATTCAGACACCAGATATAATTTGTGACATATTGTTTACTAGTGGGTGCAGGACACTATAGCTCATTTATGTAAGTGAGGAGAAAAAATAAAGTAAACTCTGACATATTACACCCAAAAATTCTTCATACAGTGGACTAAAATGATTCAGACACTTTGACCTGAGCATGTTTTGCTGAAGTGTTATCTGACATCATCAAGCTGAATTTGTTCTGACACAGTTTAACTCTGAGTTCTTCTCATATTTTATTACCATAAATAAAACAGTTATCAAATAAGCATGTGTCCTATTCTTTATCCTGAACATTGGTGTCTCATATTTTACAGCAGTCAATGCAATTTATGAAAGAATTCAATTAAATCTGTATGTGGGTGTGTGAAAAATTTAGATTGAACCCACTTTGTAATCGTTAACATTTTCATAAGTAACTATAATTTAATTACACATTTTTTTCTGTACCTGTAAGAGATTACAGTTACATTACAGTATATATAATGTAAATGTAAAAATGTAAGAAAAGAGATTTCCTCCGTGAATAGCCCACACGAGCGCTGTATGCTGTGTGTAACTGCAGTGCTTGTAGATTCTGCTGTCCTACTTTCTGCAGTTATCAGCACTGAACGCCACAGCATCCTCCATCAATCCCATAATGCCCCAGTGACATCAGCGGGCATCTCTGGCTCTGCTCTGTGTGTGTGTGTGTGTGTGTGTGTGTGTGTGTGTTTTCCTCATGAATACTCAGTGCTGTGAGCCGCTCAGTTTCCCAGCATCACTCATGCACAGGAAGCACTGAGTCGCTGGTTAATGGTCAGTGTGTGTGCGGTCAGAGAGTTAAACAGCTGTAATGAATGCTGAATCAAGCACAGCCGGACTGTTTATGGCTTCTAGTTCACTGGACGTGTGTGTGTGAGTGTTTGCATCATCGGTCCTACCGGAGTGTCTCTCAGTCCAGTGCGTCTCAGTCCGTTTCGCAGCAGGACACGCGTCACATGACCACCTGTGTCATATACGAGAAATCAAATATAACATTCATTAACATTTGCATGACCCGCATAAACTCAGCAATATGTGTCAGTAATAACAAATATCTTGACCTGTCCTTATTATTAACTAAAACCATAAAAACATTTCCATTACTTGAAATAAAATATTATTATATATTAAATAAAATATATTTTATTTCAACAAGCTGCCAAGGCAACATCTCATTTTCATTGAACTGAAATAACAAAAACTTTTTAAATAAAAATGACAGCACATCAAATTTAATACAACTTTAAATAAAATTCAAATAAAAAATTAACAAATAAAATAACGTCTAATCAAAATATTGACAAAAACTATAATAGTATACAACTACTTCTCGTTTTCATTTAGTTTGTTAAAGTGCTAACATAACTTAAAATTAAATAAACTAAAACCTAATAAAAACTATACACACAAGCAAAAACTACTAAAAATGACAAAAACACAAAACAAAATTACTAAAACTTTAAAATTAAAATAAAATGTTTGTGTGTCGTCACCTTTATTTGTATAGTGCTTTATACAATACTGGTTCTGTCAAAGCAGCTTTACAATGTTAAACAGGAAAATAGTTTGTCAATAATGCAAGAGGACAGAGTCATTTTTCAGCTAAAGTCAGTTCATTGATGATTCAGTGATGTAATCATCCAGTTCAGCTCTCTTCAATAGTGTCTGTGCAATCAGTCAAGCGTCCCCAACTAAGCAAGACAAAGGAACCAAAACTCCATCGGTGACAGAAATGGAGAAAAAACCTTGGGAGAAACCAGGCTAAGTGGGGGTCTAGTTCTCCTCTGACCAGACCAAACTAGCATGGCGTGGTTTAATTCCAGGCTGCAGCACAGGTCAGATTGTGCAGAGGACTCGTCTGGTTCCCGTGGTCTTGTGCCGATGGCTGTCGAGGTGATGAGGTCTTCACTGGGGATCTGTTTTTAGTTGACGTGGTCTCCGCTGACATTCAGGGCTGTAGAGGTCGTCTCTAGCTGCTGATCCACCGTCTGATCTGGATACAGACTGGATCCAGGTTAAAGAGATGGGTCTTTAATCTATATTTAAACTGACAGAGTGTGTCTGCCTCCCGAACAACACACATGTTGTTTTTTTAGATGATTTAAAAAGTTTATACAATTCTTCTTCTCCTATAGTAGAGAATGAGTGGAATTGTTCCTCAGGCGATCTATAGCACACTATCTGATGTGATACTGTAGCTGACGGCTGCATGGTTACAATTTTATCTCTAATAGTATCGATCTTGGAAGTAGAGTATTTTATAAAGCCATTACAGCTGTGCTGTTGGGAAATGTCAACACTTGTTGATGCTTTATTTTTCTATAATTTAGCCACTGTATTGAATAAATGCCTGGGGTTGTGTTTGTTCTCTTCTAAGGGAGATGAAAAGTAAGTAGATGTATCAGTTTTTAGAGCTTTTCTGTAGGAGAAAGTACTTTCCCTCCATGCAATACGAAATACCTCTAGTTTTGTTTTCTTCTAGCTGCGCTCCATTTTCCGGGCTGCTCTCTTTAGGGTGCGAGTGTGCTCGTTACATCACGGTGTTGGACTGTATTCCTTAATCATCCTTAAGCGTAAAGGAGCAACCGTATCTAAAGTGCTAGAAAAGAGAAAGTCAATAGTTTATAGAAAACATCAAGTTTTTCTGAGCTGTTGAATTTTCTGAGGAATTGAGACAAATTGGGAAGATTATTTACAAAGCAGTCTTTTGTTGTAGAAGTGATGGTTCTACCATATTTGTAATGATGTGTTCTGATCCAGATGGACGGTCGTTCTGCAGTGATTCTGCTTATGTTGCTGAGTCAGCGCTCAGGGGTCCTGATGATGGACGAGCGTCTTTACCATATTTGGAATGATGTGTTCTGATCCAGATGGACGGTCGTTCTGCAGTGATTCTGCTTATGTTGCTGAGTCAGCGCTCAGGGGTCCTGATGATGGACGAGCGTCTGTCCGTCTGACTGCCTGTTATTTTCTCTTGTGCTTCATACAGGCGTCTCACACATGCTTCTGGACCATGAGTGATGAGTCTCCGTTACAGACGCGCCTCACCACTGTGAGTACAACCAACACACACACACACGCGCACGCGCACACACACTCACACGCACACACACACTCACTCATTCACTCACTCACACGAGGGGAAATTATTTTTTTTTTATATTTTTTTTTTCTGGTGTATATTTTGTCACTTCAAGTAAAAGCAAAAACTAAAATAAAATGTAAAAGAGGCTAAAAGAAGCAGCATTTAATAGGATTCTGTTCCAGCAGCTGAACTCTGATGCATTATGTATGTCTAGTGTCTTTTATTCTGCTGGCAGGTGAGAAAATGTTGCTTTACTTGAACTGCGAAACATTTTTTTTCCCAAAAGAACCAAATTGATGATTGGAAATATGTCTATATTTCCTTCATAGAAATGAATGGGAAACTTTGGTAAAGGAGCCGCTGTTCTTGCAGTTTTCATGCAGAACATCAGCATGAGAAACTGCAGACGAAATGTTTTTCTGTCTTTTGGCATTTCTCTGCTGAAAGTCTGTGCTGTTTGGAGACGCACTGAAGCTCAGTGAGAGGAAATCTGTTTCCAAATTCATTCGCTGCGGATGAGAAAAACAGGAACAGCTTGTGTTAATGGGTGTGTTCACAATCACGTCACCCGTATGACATACCAGAGGATTCAATGTGTCTGGTACACCACATCCCACCATCAGCAAAACCTGTGACAGACATAGAAATTAATCAAATAAATCTTTAAAAATAATTGATAGATCTAACTCTGATGCTCTGAAATATCCCCCCCAAAAAATGATTACAGGCATAAAAATTCTTACTTATTGGCATAGCTTGTATAGGGTTATCATATGCATATGAATAAAAATACAGTAAAATTGTGAAATATTATTGTAATTTAAAATATCTGTTTTCTATGTGAATATCCGTTAAAATGTAATTTATTTCTGTGATCAAAGCTGTATTTTGATTTCTCCAGTCTTCAGTGTCACATGATCTTCAGAAATCATTCTAATATACTGATTTGCTGCTCAAGAAACATTTCTGATTATTATCAATGTTGAAAACAGTTGTGCTGCTCAATATTTTTGTGGAAACTGTGATGCATATATTTTTAACATATATTCACATATAAAACAGCTATTTAAAATTGTAATATTTCACATCTTTATTGTTCGAGTGTATCTGGCGGATCTGAAGCCAGTCGTGTTTCACCTGCTGTAGGTGAGGAAGCTCCTCGGGTGAGGGAGGGGCCGCAGGGAGACGGTTGCCATGGAGACACAGACGACAGATTCACCTGACAGAGGGAAACCCCTCACAGGATGCCTGTTTGTGTCTCAGTGCTGCACACTAATTAGTTTACATGGAGCACAGATGGAAAATCTCCATAAGCACATGCACTTAATGTTTGTTCGCTTCACACACACACACACACACACAGGTTTGTTTTTGTGAAAAGTG